TTTACTTTAGATAAGTATTTGCCTTTCAGAAAATTCAATTTCATAATCCTAAATTAATGAAAACTGAAACCTATTGTATGAATTTTTTAAGTTACTGTAAATATTTTCACAATTAAACAATTTACGTAATTTTTAATGTGGTAAATTAATTACAAATATTTATTCTCAGCACAAAAGAACACTGAAATTAAAATTATAATGATGTTTTCTTTTGTATTTTTATTGTAAAGACACGCACTTACCATTCCTTTCTTCATCTTCTTTTTTTACGCAACTTGCATTCGGTTCTTCAAAATGAATTTCTATTCTCGGTCCAATATGAACTTCTGTACAGTTCTTCAGCATCACCGGATATTGATTACCATTTTCCACTGAAATTATTATCCAATCAATATATTTTTATCTAATTATCTTGTAATTCGGTTAAATGATAATGAAAATAGTGCGCGTGAAACTATTTAATATATATAATAATAATTTTCTGCAATAATTTTCAGCTAATAATTTACTTGAATAATCATGAAATAATAGTTTTGTCACAGAACAATTTTCCATAATTTAAATTACAATAAAATGCATTTTTCGGACTTATTTTGCAACTTGTTTGTAATTAACTCAGCAAGAGAAAGCAGTTTTGGTGATATACGAGGTTTCCTCAGGAATGTAGACTGCCGCAAGGAAGCTGCCGTGTTTAATTTTGTCATTCCTAGCTGCCGGATCGAGAAGTTGAGAATTTCGCAGTTGCTTAAAAGCTTGTTCTGCAAGGAGATCCATAGATCCTCTTCCTACTGTAAATAAAGCGATTGAAATTATCACACCGGGCGGATGATCTACTCTACTGGTATCTGTGTCCTGTGACCGGAGGGGCGGCACCTCTTTAGTGCCTCGTTTTGCACGGAAGCCAAGACGTCGTTTTGATTCTGATTATTCAGCGTAGTAACGGTAAAAAACTGGAGTTGTTTTAGTTAATTGATTAGTAAGTTCTCTCTCCTCTCTCTGTCTCACTCACTCACTTTCTCTGTTTTTCTTTCTCGTGCTCTTTCTTCTTGTGTAATTGAATTTCTTCTCTGTGTTTCTCTTTCTCTCTCTCTTTCCCCTCACTTTCAGTCTCTTTCCTTTCTATAGTTTTCACTTCTTTAGTTGTCAAAAAATGGCTTAAACTTCTCTTAAAACTACAAATTAAGTTCTAACGACCAAAATCCATTATTGGTCTTAGCATTCAGAAAGAAAACGTTTCAAATCTTAATAAATATCTGCAAATAATTGAGCTGTTTTGAAGTTAAGACACCACTTAAATATTTTTTATTACTTTTTCTTTATAATTTCTAATCTTGATTGTGACGAATGCAAAATTAAATTAGAAAATCGTTTCTTCTCTTTTCCTGTACAGATATAAATGGGATAAATTAAATGAGGATATATCAAATACACCAGCAAAATGAATTGCATCAGCCTAGTATTTTTAAATAATAAAATTTACTTTTCAATTAACAGTTATAAGCAGAAATAACCAACATTTGTCCTAACATTATTAAAAAAATTTTATATATATGTTCATACTCTGTTATCAAATATCGTATATATCTGTAAAATATTTTATTATAAATTACAAATAGAGAATTTCTAGTAATGCTAATATATTTTTGAAATGGGAAACCAAACGTTTTTATTGTTCATAATTTTCGATATTGGGGTGCGCGTGAAGGGATTTTCTGCTGTTTTCATTCACATTCCCCATATAAAGAAAGATCAAGTTTGTTCTTTCAGGTGTGTGACTCAGATGCCATTATTCTGCACCAGAAACTGGCCGAAATTGTTTTTTATATCGTGTCACTCATGGTCTGCATAATGCTAATACATACGCCAGTGTTATCAGTTCAGAAACACGATTTCGCATTTTATACATTTCATACAGATTATTTCTAGATTAGTAAAACAGTTAATCTTTTTCTACTTGTAGAATTTATTATCAATAAGTTACGTAACCTCTAATTCAAATAGCAGCAAATTACACTCCTCCATGTCGACTGGTAAAAAAAGGATTTTCTTATAACACTTTTTCACTGTACGATACGTTTTCATATATTTAGAATATGCCAAAATTCACCTAATTCCATTAGTTATTTTGCCTTAGTTTCTCTCCTGCAGTCTAAGCGGCTATCCTACTGTCAACCCCATCATGACAGAAATTATAGAATATTGGTATGTTGCTGGTAGTATCATTCTACACGCGCAGTTATCCTGCCCTAGCCCCTACCAGCAGGATACCTTGTTGTTCATAAATTCATTAAACTTCTATGAGTGTATACGTTTCGAATGCACTTCATTAGCCCTATTTTGTTTACTACAAGAGAGATAATAAAACCATTCAATTCAAAATATGTTTTACTTTAGATAAGTATTTGCCTTTCAGAAAATTCAATTTCATAATCCTAAATTAATGAAAACTGAAACCTATTGTATGAATTTTTTAAGTTACTGTAAATATTTTCACAATTAAACAATTTACGTAATTTTTAATGTGGTAAATTAATTACAAATATTTATTCTCAGCACAAAAGAACACTGAAATTAAAATTATAATGATGTTTTCTTTTGTATTTTTATTGTAAAGACACGCACTTACCATTCCTTTCTTCATCTTCTTTTTTTACGCAACTTGCATTCGGTTCTTCAAAATGAATTTCTATTCTCGGTCCAATATGAACTTCTGTACAGTTCTTCAGCATCACCGGATATTGATTACCATTTTCCACTGAAATTATTATCCAATCAATATATTTTTATCTAATTATCTTGTAATTCGGTTAAATGATAATGAAAATAGTGCGCGTGAAACTATTTAATATATATAATAATAATTTTCTGCAATAATTTTCAGCTAATAATTTACTTGAATAATCATGAAATAATAGTTTTGTCACAGAACAATTTTCCATAATTTAAATTACAATAAAATGCATTTTTCGGACNATAATTTAAAATACACGATCCATGACGAAATCAACTTTTTATACACATACAAAACAGATCGTACCTGTGTATTTTATGCTTATTAAATGGCACGCGCACTCAAAATAGTCTAACACCCTTGGTATAGCATATAAATAATTTATTAATTTTTAAATATTTTTACTTTATAAATTACTTTCGAAAGATATCGTTTAATAAAATCATTTAAAAAAATATCTTACTTTATGGAAGTGAAGTTTCCTGCCGTACCCAATTTCTGTGTTAACATTTCATACAATTAATAAACATGGCGTACGAAACCTGTTAATCCACTCAAATAGAGATAGAGTGCTTCATCTATCAGTAAATTGGAACAATACGAAGTGTTTTAAATAATAACAGCTACTCAATAACCTGTAACATCAGTCCGAAAATGTAATGATTACAAAGGTATAACTATAATCCTTCCTATTAAACCAGCAGTTGTAGTAACTGCAGGCAAACACTACACAGAGACATTAAAGGAAGTAGTTTTACGTAATTCTAAAAGGAAAACTGTTGAATTGTTTTTACCGTTAACTGCTGCCATCTTTTGACAATGTTTTGTATTTAATATATTAAATCGTTTAGTATGATTCATGCAAAGTATTAGAGTTTTAGTTATAGTATTAAACTCAGATTTAGTTAATCTTATCAAATAGGATTTATTCCATTAGATAGGGTCAACTGGGTAACATTCGAGAGCGTTATCTCTTATATAAGACGATTTTAAAGTTTTCCTGTCTGAAATAAATCAAAACGTTCAGTAAATTTTGTTTTGAAACTAAGATTTAATACATAATAATAACAGCCATTTGCATTAAAGTAATTTTATGGAATTATTATTTTCACTCCTTTGACTACGAAATTAATACACAAGGTTAAAATTTCAACACGCTTATAGCTTATTTAGTATTTACCATTATTTAGTTATATCTTTAGAAAATTTTAATAATAGATGGTAGTAGTTAACAGTAAAACCTCCCAAGTTTAAAATACAGTTATCATTTAGAAATGCGTAATACTACTACTTTTAATGTCTGAGTGTAGTGTTTGCCTGCATTTACTACGGTTAGATCGAGATGGCCAATTGCTAGTTTGACAGGAAGGAAGTGATTATACAGGTATACATTTCTACTCACTATATTTTCGAGTAATGTAACCGATAACCGAGCAACTAGTATTATTTAAAACACTTCGGATTGTCCAATCGAAGATACATTTAATCTCGTAATGTCAGGTCACCGAAGTTAGTGATAATGCCGATGTATATGTGTGTTACTCGAATGGAGTAAAATGTGCATTTCGTACTCCATGTTTATCAATTGTATGAGATGTTAAGAAAAAACTGGGAGGTGAGATGAAACTTTACGAATTTACTTCACTTCGGGAAAGTAAGATATTTTTCTTATTTTTTAAAATGAATTCATTACACTATATTATATTTTAAACGATCGAAATTTACTCGCGTGTGAACGTTATGAGAACATTTTTGGGATGTACTAGATTAGAACATTACAGGAATACAATACGGGATAAATTGGGAGTAGAATATATAGAGGATTAGACAGAGGCTTATCGGAAGAAATTGTTATAACAAATCTCCGAACTGATTTTTATAACCGACCAAAAGTAAACGTGACAAAAGATGTGGGTCGAACAGAGATACGTTCGAAACTGAGTGATAGAAAAAAAGGACATGAGATTCCGAAGATGGATTGTTGCATTACGATAATGAGGACGATTTTTCTTCACTTGTATAGGTGTAACTGCAACTGCAACATTTGTGATGCAGTTGTCGAAGAGACATGTTACGTAAAGAATTCGTTTTACGCTCGTAATGAATTTACAATTTTTGAGAGTAACTTTGTTAACATTCACTACGTACTGTACACTCGTTTTCGTTAACACTTCGCTCAGCATTGATGCTAGCATTTGGAATTAAACAAGGGTTTATAAAAAATACTGTATTGATAAAAAATGCAAATATCGCTCAAAGAACATAAAATGCAATTCGAAATATCACAGTTTTTGTAAAAATAAGTAACTTTGCAACATTCTTGATTCTCATAAAAATAGTGATTTATTAATAATAGTTCTGTTGTTTCAGTTTCAGGTGAATTGTTTGTAAATTGTCATACCCTTTAATATCTCTTTGAATATATTTTCATTTTGTGTCATTCCATACGTTGCCTGTCAAGTAATACTATACATTATTCTTTTGTAATTAGTCTACAGTATAGTTTATACAAAGTTAAATTAACAATATAAACTGTATTTAATATTAATGCATTACTGTAACGTGTTGTCGTTTAAGGAAGCATTCTGATTATTTAGATTTACTATATACATTACTATATTCTGCATTAATTTGTGTTCTATTTACTCCTAATTTCGCGGGATAGAAAGAGAGAGTTGACATAAATATCTGTAGAGTTAGTTCCTTTGTAGATACATGTCAGAAGAAATGCGTATTTATTTAATTGAATCAAACATTCTCAGTACGATAAGAGGAAGCAGAATCTTCTCAAGGTAACAAAGGGCTTTCTGACTAAATTGGTCTGCTATCTTTTTTGACCATTGGTTTCGTCTTTTCTCTGAGTTGGCATGTAAAATCGGATGGACCGACCTGAAATTTCTTTCCTATTTTTCTGGGAAGAGATGTCGTTCGAAAGAAAGTGTGTCACTAATGGGATCTTGCTACTTTCTTTTCTATTCTCCCAGATTTATGCTTTTCGTTAAACTTTATTTAACAGGTTATTTACATAAAATATATGAAATTATCAAAATTTCAAAAATAGTATCTCGTGCAGTGCTTAAGTTGTTTAAACCTAAAAGTGGAAATTACATATTCTATCTCACAGATTCTGTAAATTGTCAGGGAAATTCCCTAATGTTAAGCATTAGATATGATACTTTATTATTAATAAAATATCTCTTATATACTGTATACATATTTTACATAAAAATAAGCAGAAAATATACAATATGAGGGCCCGGACTTGAAAAAATGTTAAAGGATATGATTATATCTTTTACCCCGGAGTAACTTCTCTTCCAAGGTGACGCATCTTCCGAATGTGTCACCACGAACTTCACGACCGAAATCCATCTATTTCTCTTAACCTTTAACATTACCAAAGATGGGCATGATTAAAAAGCGGGACGACCCCCAAAATAAAAGAGAAATCCCGGTGACGAGAAGGCCATTCGTCGTCATCGGGAGTTCATTACCACCTCGTCGCAGATCAAGGATTTCGTCGTACTTCAACATTATTTACCAGTTCTGCGCTGTTAATAACAAAATACCCAGAATAATTTTGCAAAAAAAATGTCAAAATTACCTGCGCTAATTGAATAATAAATGAATGGGTGATCGGTTTTTGATTAGATACGTTCTATCAAAGTACTTTCAACATTATAAAGTGATGTCACTGAATTTACCGATGGTGTTGAGGCAGTCACGCGCTACTATTGTAAACAGAGACATTTATTTCTCGTGTCATATTTTCAATTGTATGAAAAGTTAATACAAAAATCGGATACGGCAGGAACTTTACTACTTCAGTTCACATTAAGAAAGTAAGATTTTTTTTCGATATTTTTTAAAATGAAATTATTAAATAAAATAAAATAAAATAAAATAAAATAAAATTATTAATCTAAAAATTATTCTATTATCAGCGATTTTTACTTACCGGCCTGTTATAACAAAAGAAAAGTATGGCGATCAGGCAAAATTAACCCGCATATTTTTACATTTCGACACTTAGGACAGCTTGAACGTCGAGAAATGCCAAAACATTTGGCAGTAATTTCTGTATGTATCGATTTCAGTGTCTGTTAGGCACAATTATGTTCACCCTGTTTGAAGCTTAATAACTCTTGTGTTTTCTGTCGAAAATTATTGAAATTTTACCGGAAGGTTTGTTTATCAGGGTGATTGAATTCATTACATTTTGGTGGCAGAAGAGGACGGGAAAGAATCGGGATGGGCGTATCTCTAGAAGGGTCGGACGTAATCACAATTTTACTCGTTATTAGCATTTAGAATTCTTTATAAAACCCATTCCTACCCTCAACCTTAAGCGTTTTGCCATTTTATAATAGTTTAAAATATAAAGATGTTTTTTAAACAAAATATAATAACAAATGGCGCCACCAAATTTTTAAATGTTGCTGGTTTATTTAAACTAATTTCTCATAATGGACCCGTAAGGCTGTGAGTAAGAATATTAAATGTAGATTAAACAATACATTAAGAGACACGGATTATACTTATCGAGAAATATTATTATTACTGTTGTTTTTACAAGAGGTATACCATATTAATTTACAGTTTCGAATATACCGCAACCCACATTCTGTTATTTGCCTTGTTATAAAGTTGTGAGGCTTCCGGGGTGAAATTTTTTTCATCCCGGAAGTATGCCTAAAAAAGAAGAAACTTCATGTGTGTACATGAAAATTTAAACTGCTTTATACAATCGTTTATATTTACTTTATGGCTAAAGTTATATTCAAGTGTTATAGTAAGGTAAATACGTCAATAGATTTCAAATGAAACGAACGAATGTGTCAAACGTTTATATTTTATACAGAAGTAATTGAGGTTGAATTAGAGAAATAGCAGAAGCAGAAGGTCCAAGTGAGGAGAATAGTGTCGTTAATTAAAAACAAGTTGCAAATGTAAGTTGGCTAAATATATTTAGTTTTAATCTAAATTATAGGTTTACTTAAAGTAAATTATATTAAATTACAATGATAATTTCATAATGACTTAAAAGTTTTGTTTAATTTCGTGCAAGAAACAGAAATATGTAACTTCGTAATTATTAGATTTTTAATATAAGAAATTATTTACAAGCACTAAAATTTAAGTAGGGTAAATCAGAGTTTCATGATGAGTACGTGTAATTAATACATAAACTGAAAATAATCTGCACTTATAAATATTTTTTATTACATAAAAGTTAGGTTTGCTCTGTCTGCTGTTTACGTGCATTTGCTTTAAAAACAGGCGAATAGATGGAATGTTTCTCTTTCTTACTTAAAAATTCTTTACTCATGTTTACGTCTATTGCAGCCTCGAACATCTAAGTTAATATTAGCAGACGAATTTTGTTTATTGCATTTAATATTTCGTGTATTTTAATAATAAATTAAACTGTAATCTGTCAAAAATAACAGATCAGGTTCTGATACCGAGGCCAGTCATCATGCCCTGTTTACCAACTGACCAACACTTGTAAGGGTGAGATTATGATTTAGCAAAAAATTATATGTTGTTTTATGAAATCTATTGATATTTTTCAAGAATCATTATTACGTCGCTTTGATTTTCTGTTATGATAAGAAAAAATTCAAGCAAGGAGTTATGCAACTATTTCGTCTTTGGTGAGATAATATTTTAAAATTAACATTTGTATTATTAATCAAAACAAATAAGTAAAATCGTACGTAGAGACATATGATATAAAAATTTTGTTATAAAAACTTCATTTATTATTGATTATTATAAAATAGCAAAGGACTTAATTTTGTAGGTATAAATAATTTTAATAAAACACTATAAATGCTAACAAGTGAAATCTTCAATGAGTCTGGCCTTTTGCGAGGTATGACAAATGTGCACTCTCTGTCTCTCTATCTCCTTGACCTTTCACAACCAAAATTTAATAGAATTAATGCCCCGTATATACAGGATATACAAATTACGTTTCTGTATTTTTGCCCCATCCTGAGATATTAAGTGAAATAGACACCAACACATACATTTGTTTGACTTGTTTGGGCTTTGGGAGTGTCGAAAAGTGAAGATTTGCAAAAACTCGGAGGGACAATTTGACACGATTCCCACTTTTATCTTGATATATATATACATAGTAGCCGAGAAAATTACAACAGTTCAGTCAGTTTATTTAAATAAAATTTATTTTTAAACTCACAGTTTCTAGAACTTTTATTCGCCATTTAACCCTGGTTTATCGTATAAGAATGATAAACTAAAAGTAATGTTGGTGTATACATGATTTCAATTGTTGATCTGTTGTAATTTCAAACGGTGTATGTTAAAATGATCCGTGTCGAAAATATGTTAAGCAAGTAAATTATTAGCCGAAACATAATAAACAAGTCTTTTTTATGAACTGTTAAATAATCAGATTATCCCGTATAATCGGCTTATGCTAAATTAAATGTATATTGTTCAATTGTTTTTGAGTGTTAAAGTGCATCACTTCCGGAGTTCTCTATCTCTGTTTTTCCCTCCTCTTTCTATAGGCTATTTACTGATCGTATTCGCCTTCGAAAGGTATCCTGTATACCTTGTCACAGATGGTTCAGATCCTATAAATTGAATTAAATTTTTTAATATTACTTTTATTCACAGTAAATTTTATATGTCGAATACATCTTACTACACGAAATGTAAATTTGATGGCATAAAAGTTGTTTAAAATATAAAATACCATTCAAATTTTCAAAAAACTTTATTAAGGTAAAAAAAATCCCGAAAAATTTCAAATTTGGTGACTTAATTCCTAATTTAATATAGGAACAGTATATTTCGCAATACAGTATTTGCAATAGCAAACGTTCGTGTTTACCGTACTGTTTAACAGACAATAGAAATTTCATTTCCATTTCTACCCTTAAATGGAACAATAATTCAATACACTACATTTTTTTTATTATTAAAAATCATGCCGCATGATTTGACCGTAAAACGACACTGAATAATGTGCATAAATATTTTGAAAATGAAAACAATTTAAAATTTAAAGTTTTTCGTGTACACAATTACATTTATTTAATATATACGCCTAATGTATTGTATGACGAGTGTGATATATTAAGCTTTCAGCCCCCATATCATTACATTGAACTTCGCCATTACATGAAAAATACATGTAATTTTTTAAATAGAGTTTATACTATTCTCTTATTTCAATACTCGTCTACATCATGACACATTTTGAGTTGTGTTTACTCGCAGATTTACATAGAATATGACGACGTATACTTTCGTATTGTTTCAAAGAAAGAATGTAACTGCCGGTAACTTTTAATTCGTCCCCAGTTTCTAATGCAACCAATTTTTCGCGTTTACTTACTTTTAATAATTTCCGCATGTCGTCAGATAAATTTAAATTGAAATTTACATTCGTGAATGTATCGAATGAATCATCCAAAGGTTTACTTACGCCAATAAGAAAAACGTCCACATTACTTGTGTCCATTTCATAATACAATTCGAGAATGCGTGAAATAGGTCCTCTGATGTCGTATATATTTTCCCTAGGCAATCTTTCAAGCGAGAGTATAAGATAAATCTTCATACTATGCTGTAAACTATCCTTAATTAAGTAGTAAATTGAGTAATTATGATCTTCAAAACGTCCACTGTCTCTCTCAAGGAAATAAAAATATATTTCTTTCAATTTACAGAACTTTAATAGTTCTTCTAAAGAACGACGATCTTTCCAAGAATAAAATATCACTTTTGCATGAGAACAAAATTGTTTCCAGTTCGTTCTCAGTTTCATTTGTTTGTGAACTTCAAGCATGAATTGAGGCTTAAACATTTCTTTCTCTACGTATGTTAAAAACCTTTCGGGTAAAGGTTCATCCTTATAAAATCCTAATAAAAATAAGAATTTCATACCAATTATACTATTTGCAGGTGAGATCATACATAGATTAGTAGATTGAAAACTAACGTACATTGATAATGCTGATAGAAATTCGGCAAATGTGCGATGTACAAACCTATATCGAATTATATTATCGCATTCAGAAAAGGAATCGAGAGTCAAAATATCAAGTCCGATAATAAAATTATATTCATCTTCATTTGGAAAATAATTCCTCAATCGTTCTGAGGTGATAAAGTGAACTTCTCCCAATTTCATTAGCAAATTTTCTCCCACAAAAAATTTTCCTCTTTTAAACTTGTTCTGCTGATTTGTTTTTCTAACATAACGTTCGGTTATGAGAGAAAATATTTGGATGTATAAATCTGTCATCTTTTCAATCTCTGTTATCTTTCCATTCTGATGAAGGCAACAAAACATGTGCAACATCAGAGGACATTCTGCCATTTTACTGTAAAACTCGTTTTCTTTCAGTACAGAATAAAGTATATACGCTTTACTCTTGTCTTCTCTGAACATTAATTGAATGTATTTTTCTTGGTATTCTGGAGAAAATCCTTCTATGGAAAACCTCATGTTCATATCTTCCCTGATGTCTTCTGCTGCTTCGGGTCGACTGGAAACCACAATCGTCGTTCGACGAGAAATAAAAAATGATTCCTCTCTTATAAATTTTAGAATTTTAGATTTATCTACAATCTCATCTAACCCATCCAAAATCACTAAAATATTCCGTTGTCTGTCTTGAAATTTCCAATCTTTATTAATTGACGAGTATACATGCATATTATCGAGTAATGCATCCTTTACACTTCTATCGCCTAATTCTCTTAAAATTACAATAAAAGTTAAATCAAAGTGTTTGAGGTAATTCGTGGTTGCCCAGTCGTACACAATTTTTTTACAAATAGTGGTTTTGCCATAACCGGGATCTCCTGTTACTAAAATAGTTTGGTGTCCATCTTGTTTTATAGAAAATATCTCATTTAAGCTTATTTTCTCTCCGCTTTTCTTGCCAAATAAATCTGCCTTTTCTACTCTCAATTCTATGAAATAATCCTTTAATGGAAAATCGTTCCTCTTGCCTTCCCACAAATAGGATCTCATGTAAGAAAAGTAGGTCTTGTATTTGTTTTTCAACATATGGCAGCAACTGTTGAACATTTCTAGAGGAGGAAAAAACAAAAAAAATTCATTATTTAATGAAATAACATGATAGCTTCTTTTAGTTTACTTTCAAATTAGGAATATTCAAAAATTTAATCCCTTTTTACTAAAAATTTCCAGTTAATACGAAGGGTATACCATATCATATGCCACTAATCATTCGAAATGAATTTTGTTCTTTCGCTGCTTCCTAGTAATAAGCATATGAAAATTCGCTTGAATCAGCCTTCATATTAGTTTGCTCACAATGTTATTTCGGAGTACAACTACAACGATAATTTGCCACTGCTATAAAAAATAACGTACAAAAATATTCCAGTCTCTCCTGATAGATTTCTTGAATGCCTAAAACAAAATCGTCAAAGAATTTTTTTATTTCCTATTTTCTCGTGTCAAGATATATAAAATTACAAAATGTTTCTTAAATTCGACTGATTGAATTTTGAGAACGAACTCAATTCTATTAGAAACTGCAAACAGCTTTTGATAGCGCATCGCCTTAATTAATGATTGAATGGGCACCATCCTACCGGTAGAGTAGATCATCTGCCGGGTTTGATAATTTCAATGGCATTATTGTACAGTATTGGAGTATATTAAAAAGACGACGTATATTTCGTCTTGTAAAAGAAGCTTTGAAGCAACAGCGAAATTCTCAATTTCGCCATCCAGCTGTTAGGAATCGCAGAATAAAACATGGCGGTTTCCTTTCAGCAAGCAGAGCACGTCTCGCCATCTATTTTCACACTTAAAAAATAGATAATCAGAGAAACAACTTTATTCCCTGGTAGTTCCTACTTGTATGGACCATCGACTCCAATCTCTCAGTTATAGAAATGTCAGTCAACGCGTGAAGCGACTTTGTGTTGTTTTCATTCACATTCCCCATATAAAGAAAGATCAAGTTTGTTCTCTCGGGTGTTTGACTCAGATACCATTATTCTGGACTAGAAACTGGCAGAAATTGTTTTTTTATATCGTGTCACTTAGGCTTGCATAATGCTAATACATACACCAGTGTTTTCAGTTCAGAAAAACGATTTCGCATTTTATACTCAGATTACATATTATTTCTGGATTAGTAGCAACAGCTCATCCTTTTCTACTTGTAGAATTTATTATCAATAAGTTATGTAATTACCTCGAATTCAAATAGCAGCAAATTACACTCCTCCATGTCAACTGATAAAAAAGGATTTTCTTATAACACTTTTTCACTGTACAATACGTTTTCATATATTTAGACTATGCAAAATTCACCCAATTCCATTAGTTATTTTGCCTTAGTTTCTCTCCTGCAATCTAAGCGGCTATCCAACTGTCAATCCCATCATCTGACAGAAATTATAGAAGATTGGTATATTGCTGGTAGTATCATTCTACACGCGCAGTTATCCTGCCCTAGCCCCTACCAGCAGGATAACTTGTTGTTCATAAATTCATTAAACTTCTATGAGTGTATACGTTTCGAATGCACTTCACTAGCCCTATTTTTTCTTTTGTTTACTACAAGAGAGATAATAAAACCATGCAATTGAAAATATGCTTTACTTTAGATAAGTATTTGCCTTTCAGAAAATTCTATTTTATAATTCTAAATTAATGAAAACTGAAACCTATTGTATGAATCCTTTAAGTTACTGTAAATATTTTCACAATTAAACAATTTACGTAATTTTTAATGTGGTAAATTAATTACAAATATTTATTCTAAGCACGAAAGAACAAAGAAATTAAAATAATAATTATGTTTCTTTTGTATTTTTATTGTAAAGACACGCACTTACCATTACTTTCTTCATCTTCTTTCTTTAAGCGACTTGCATTCGGTTCTTCAAAATTAATTTCTATTCTCGGTCCAATGTGAACTTCTGTACAGTTCTTCAGCATCACCGGATATTGATTACCATTCTCCACTAAAATTATTATCCAATCAATATATTTTTATCTAATTATCTTGTAAGTTTAACTTATGTTCAGTTAAATGATGATGAAAATAGTGCGCGTGGAACTATTTAATATGAAGAATTTTCTGCAAAAATTTTCAGCTAATAATTTACTTGAATAATCATGAAATAATAGTTTTGTCACAGAACAATTTTCCATCACTTAAATTACAATAAAATGCATTTTGCCGACTTACTTTCGCAACTTGTTTGTAATTAACTGGACAAACGACGACACTCTTCTCCCTATTTGAAACTTCTGCTTCTTCCATTTCTGTAATTGAACCTTAATAATTTCTGCGTAAAATATAAACATTGGATAAATTTCTTTGTTTCACTTCATTTTTATTAAAATATGATTTAAAAGTAAACATATAACTTTACCTTACTATAACACTTGAATATAACTCCAGGCATATAGGTCTTCATATGAAAGATGTAGTCGATTTCTCCTGCACCGATAGACATAATTTTTTTAATACTATGGTATTATTGAAATCTGTACGTAATGTATACATATAAAAGCTAAACAACTCTTACATCATATAAATGTACGTTTTATACATAAAAATTTAAGTAATATTATGCAAAATGTTTAAAAAATTTGAATTATCTCGCAAATTTTAAGCTTTCATTTTTTACCAGATCCATACGATTTTTGAAATATGAAAACACAGTGATTGTCAAAATCATTATACAGTAAACAAAATTATAGAAGCAACAAAAGGCAATTAATACTCTTCATGTAATGGCGTAACTTTTTCTCTTGTGAAAGTTCATTATACAGTGGTACCTCAGAATACGAACGCCCCAGCATACGAAATTTTCAGCATACGTCATGAAATTCGAACATATTTTTGCTTCACGATACGAACAAAAACTCACCATACGACGTTACATTTGTTCGCAGCGCCATTTTTTATTCACTTCTGTTCATTGGTCTCAGTCCGCGCGTTTGCTTCGTCGTGGAAGGATCTGGCTCGATAAAGGAAATCTTGAGGTATTATCAGAAAGTGACTGATTTTATTGAAAATAAACATTCCGAAAAGGTTCACACTGGCCGTATTGCTGCTCGGAGTAACGACGTTTGCCTAAGTCATTTTAGAAACATTTTAAAAAGTAGGCAAAGCCAAACCTCTTTGGATAGATATTTTATTAAGCGATCTCCATCCAGTGAAAGTGCTGGTAGAAGCGAAGGAAAGGAAGCAAAAAGCAGTGAATAAAAATTAAAAAATAAATAAAAAATAAAACAACACTAATTTTTAAAAATCTTTTCGAAGTTATTTTTAAGTTATTGTTACATTATGTTATGTAAGTTAAGTTTTTAGTATCATTTCCCTTCTCCCTCTCCTCCACCACCAGTTTACACCTCCACCGTCGTCTATCCTCAAAGGTAAAGTGCAAATAAAACTATATTTTTTTTATCAATTATTATTCTATTATGGTTATTTATACGTTTACAACTACAAAACGCATTTTTCAGTGTTTTCCTTACTACAGTTATTTTTTTTTAATGCACTACTTAGCTTTAATTTGAGTGTGTTTTTCGTGTTGGAACGAATTATTTGGTTTTACATGTAATCGTATGGGGAAAAATGATTCACCTTACGACATTTTCCCTCCATTAGA